CTTGGAAAATATTCTAAACCAAACCAGAAAATGTTGCTACTTTGAGCTATAGATAAAATGAGGTATTTAATTTTTGTTTTATTATTTCCTCTTCTCTTCTTTGTACATTTTGGACACTAGCAATTTTATAGCACAGAGGATGATACTATAAAAAGCAACCAATTAAATAAGGTGCCATGGAGCATGTCTATAACCTCAAGACTCAGAAGATGTAGACTGAGGCAAGAAGATGGTGAGCTCAAGTCCATCCTTAAGGGTGCACAGTGAGATCCTGTATCTGGGCTGTGGTATGAGGTCAAAAAGTATCCCATTTCTTGACACAACATCACTTTTATATTCAGTTAAAGATTATAAACAGAGTTCAATTATAGTCACTCAATATCCTATTATAAAGATGGGTATGAGGTCAAAAAGTATCCCATTTCTTGACACAACATCACTTTTATACTCAGTTAAAGATTATAAATAGAGTTCAATTATAGTCACTCAATATCCTATTATAAAGATATACATACTGCTCATTAAAATCTTTAAGACCTTTTGTGTTTGTTTTCAGGCAGAGACTCATTATGTAGACCAGGATGTTTTGGAGCTTGCATCCTGCCTCAGTTTTTAGTAGTAGGATTATAAGCATGCACAGTCCTTGAACTACAAGAGGCATTGCTAATAAATGTCTTCCATGGATAATAGTTTCTGATACATAACTGTATATCTTGCCATCAGCCTAGAAGAAAGCTTTTGGTTCCTAATTAGTTATTAGTCTATAAAGGAGGCTATGAACTTGCTTTTATATTACTACAACCAAGAGAAGGAAGAATTTAAGCTTGTTTTTGTTTTGTTTTGTTATAATTGAGTTGAGAGACTTCAGTGTCAAAGGCAAGACAGAGGTGGTCCAGAGGCATGCTCAATCATAGAAACACAGCTGTCTCGACCTCCTGACCCCTAGAAGGCTGGCTCTAAGAGGCCTAAGGATGTCAGCACTCCAACCGTGCTCTCAAAATAATCCATCGACTAAGATGTGCTTGCCTGTCATCTGTCACATGAAGATTTTTCTGAGCCAGTTCATAGCTCTATGCTACAGTATTTTGAGATACATAGTCACATCTCTCAACAGTGTGCACCCATGTGACAAAGTCATACATATTCGAGGTAATCCTGTAAGTCATACTAAGTCAAGGTATTCTTAGTATATGCTAAGAAAATAATGATCAAAATGAGTAATTTAAAGGGACTGATGAGCAGAGAAGCAGTCACCTTCGCATAATAGTAGCAACATATTGTAAGTCAGAAAATTCATTATTTGCTATTACCTCATCCTGCATAACCCTTGATTTACCTTCTCTAAGCCTCTAGCCACAGTCTTAATTTGTTTTCTCTCTACACTTTCTGAACATTTTTTTCCTCTTAAATAAGCTATTTGTCCAGAAATGCTACGGCTAAAGTGCTCTGTCTGCACAAAAGGCCCTTTTAGCAGGCCAGATATGCACAGCTAAGCTGTGCTTGCAAAACTGTTTTTCTTAAAGTGCAGTCAATTGGCCATACAGCAGCACTAATTCGTTCCTAACCAGTAAAGCATGTGCACACAGTGCCCATCTGCCACTCTGTGCAGCCATGGAGGCTGACTGCTTGCTTATACATGCTGCTAAGACAAGGTTTAGTGCAGCCACTAGCCTTGGCTTAGGACAGCATACCTGATACCTCTGCTTAACACCAAAGTCTGTTTCCCATTCTCCAGGACTATGTCTTGTACTTCCTCTCTGAATCAAAGCTTCTCCCACATAAATCCTGGAAAAACTGCTTAGAACTAGTGTGCTGTAAGCATTCTGACATCACCATCATAATATCCAAATGGAATGATAACACTCATTAACTGTGATGTAAAAATAATCTTTAACATATTTCCAAAGTCAATTTTTATTTGTATTTTTCTCAGGCTTCAGACTACTGAAAATTCCATCTTGAAGTACAGTGATGAGGCAGGTGTTGGATTTCTAGGGTTTTATGTTATTATTTGGGGTGTTTAACCTGTGCCTCATTTTTATACTAATTGCAGTCATGGGAAAAGATAATTACCCTGAGGGACACTACCTGCATCTTTTTATTTCTCAATGGCAGGCGTGATTGACAATAATCTTACCTATGGGAGGTCTGATTATAAACACCAGGACATGTTCTGGAAAGTCCATAACTGGATCCTGCAGTAAATTCACTTTATACTTGGGATAAAAGAGTACTGGAGAATGGACAAACCAGTGACATGGGCATCTGAGCTTATTAAAATGATATCAAATGTATTTCAGGTAAAAAAATAAATAAATGTGCCAGCTAACATTTTAGTGACTTACTTTAAATTTCCACATATGTTACATAATCTTACTATGCAAATTACATTCTTATAAATACCCCTTCTTTTGTTTGCTCTTTAGCATATAAATCTTTGATTATACCCTCAGAGAAGGAGAAATGGAGGAGAATGGAAAGGAATGGTATTATTGTCAGATGTAACACTTCAATTCATTATCTTAACTGCTTGCATTTGAGATTCCAGAAATAAATAGGATTGTGATCACAGGTCCTCAGTAGGCTGAGACAGGAGACTTGCAGATTCAGAGCTAGCTTAGGAGAGATGGCTCCACACTTCAGAGAATTTATTGCTCTTGCAGAGGACTCCAGCATCCATGATGTATCACAACCATCTGTAACTCCAGTTCCATGGATTCCTATGTCCTTTTCTGTCCTTCATGGGCCCCAGACATGCATGCCATGCACAGACATACATTCTGGCAAAAGACTCATTCACATAAACAAAGTAAATAAATTAAAAAAAATAAAACCTGACTGGAAAAGTGAATTCCAGGCACGTCTAGGAAACTTATTAAGACTAGAGATTTAGATCAGTGGCAGAGCCAAGGCCCTAGGTTCAATCTCAAGTACCAGAAATAAGCTTTCGGTGAGTTTACTTCTGTCATTCTACTTCAAAAAAATATGCGTTCTCAAAATAATACATGGGCTTTCCCAGCATCTTCTACAGAATATTTTCTTTTCTTTTCTACTTTCCTTTTTTAAAAAAGGATAATGTTAAACTCAAGTGAAGGTGCAGGGATGTGGCTTTTTGTTAGATTTGTGAATTCAATTCCTATTCTTCATTTTCCTCAATGGGGACTTAGACAAATTACTTAACTACTCTTTGATTTCATTCCTTCATCTGTGAAGGGGGTCTATAAAACTACCTGCCTTGTAAGAGTATAACAAGGATTTAATGATATCATACATGTGAAAGTTTTAAATCCATGCTTACCACAGGTTAGTTCCATATTATTTATGATACTACTTTTATAATTTGGAGATACTAAGACCAATAGGCCAAATTCTCATATTCTCCTTTTTACTTTCAAAGCTAGTGAGGTCTGGCAGATAATTTTAATTAGCTGTCCTCAGGGACCTTTTCAGTGTCCTAGTGTGACAGACAGAAAGATAACATCTTTTACAAAGTGAAAAGTCCTTCAAATTATGAAACTCATTCTTGAAATTATAATTTCCTGACAGAATATCATTTATTATATTCCAGTGGAAGACAATGCTCTTATGTTTTTAAGATAAAAGACTTCCTCTCTGGACATTTATACTTATTCTGTGAAAATATTCGATCTTGAGAACAGATGGTCTGTATTATGATCTTTGCTACATGGCTACAATTCTAATGATGCTACAATGAAAATGGTTTGGAATAGTTGCTGTGTTTCTAATTTTATTTTTCTATTCCCAAATACTATGAATAACCATACCAACATCTCTGAATGGAGAGAAACTGAACATCTCCATAAAACACTAGCCACAGATTCTTGGCTTTTACTTCATATTTGCTTACCACTCAATTCCAGACACATGTCCTAATATTATTCTTCGTGGCACTATGGAACTATTACTTTAAAATGAAGTTAATAAAGTCCTTAATTAGAATATTTGGGTTGCTCTGAAATATTATAGATCCATGCACCAGTAAAATCCATCTAGAATTTAAAATGCTTGTGTTTGAAAATGATATGAGAATTAAAAACAAGTATAAATTATTGTTGTTAGAAAATGATTGATTTTTTTCAGACATACATTAACAATTTCTGCAACTTACATCAGGATTGTGCAGTTTCTCTTTTATTTAATGCTTGAATTTCTGCTGCAATGCCTAGTGGATGGCATATTAGGTTATTTCTTTAATAACATGAAAATTCTAGCATGGTCTTTCAATACCTGTGTCATTTTTTCCTAGTCCGTGGTATACAAAGAACAACACTGAAATGGCAGAGTATTTTTAGAGCTTACATAAGGCCTGAAAAGTTGTAAAAGATTAATGAATATGATAGCTCTTGGCTAATGCAAAAAAAAAACTTTGCAAAATTGGTTTTTAAACTAAATTTATTTTTAAAGCATCCATCAAAACATAAAAACTGTATATATTAGTGTGCAACCTTGTAATGTTTCTATACATACATACATTGTACAATGTTTCAATCAGTTGCCTACTCCCCAAAGATTTATCATTTCTTTAACCTTTATTTCGGTAAGGAAACAAATAAAAGCCTTATTAAAACACAAAGAAACAAGTTTACTCCAGCCTGATTCTATCAGAATGCATCTACATCAGAAAAGAAGTAGAACAGTTGTTTTACTTTATAAGCTGTTTAGTTTTAGCTCCTCAGTATTTCAGAAAGTATTTGATTTGGGGTTTCATGACACTGCCTTCACAGTAGGGCAAAACTGATATTGAAACTGGAACTATGCTTCTGGTTAGAAAGGAACTGATGCCAACCTCTAATTCAGTCTTAATTTAAACAGTAACTTATAGTGGCATTTCAGAAAAAAGTTAGGTAGATTCCCACCCAAATAAGTAATTGCACTTCCCTTGATACCCTGAAGCAAAGTGAGGTGTTTCCTGAATCATACACTACAACTTTGAAGAGTAAGATTATGGTATTGAGTGGTCGTTTTAATTTCTCTTTCAGATCAGCATTTTCATGACACATCTGTCTAACTATGGGAATGACCGTCTAGGCTTATACACCTTTGTGAACTTGGCCAACTTTGTGCACAGCTGGACCAACTTGAAACTGCAGACTCTGCCTCCAGTTCAACTGGCCCACAAGTACTTCGAACTCTTCCCGGAGCAGAAAGACCCGCTCTGGCAGGTAACATTTAGGCCTTCTCTCCATGGGGAGGAAAAACATTAGCAATGTGTTGGCTGTTTAATTTGTGGTAGGAACTTATTAAACAAATACTAAATTAAATAATCATTCCCCTATCCAATTGTCATATTCTCTTCAGTAATATTTTTGTATCTCTTACAATTTAAGTGTTTATATTTGTAGTTTTTGCTTGCTTGTTCAAATCATTTGGAAGCTTGACAGTAAGGATGGTGTTTTATTGTTGGAGTTTTGACCAAGCAAATGCTTTAGACTTACATGCAATATGAGTACTGACTAGCTGCAAAATGGTTAGCTCTAGATAGCTCAGGAGACTAAAAACAGAAACAGGAAAAGAGCCTTTGTAACTCAAGGTCCTGTCCCCAAACCCGAGTATGTATATGTTCATGACACCGTACATGAAAAACAGAAAAGCAGCCTCTTTCCTATGTTGTGTTCATAAGGATTTAGTGTCTGTTTGCTGTATTTGACTTTTCTTTAAGTCTAATTTCACTAATGCTAGGCCTATCGATAAAAGAGAGACTCGACAGTTTTAGGATGGCTTTTACTTCTGATTTGACTCTATTTGAGGCCACACAGCTTGAAGGCATCAAATGTAAACTATCTCTTCTTAGCAGTTATCTAGGAAGCACTGCCTCCCACTTACTCGGTTCTTTACGCATCTGATTGCATCGACCCACACAATCAATGAGCTGGCTGCAGAGAGCAGATCAGATGTTCCCCTGCTAAGCAGTCGGTGGAAAAGTAGCATCATCATTAATGAGAAATTACTGCAAAACAGACCTTCAAAATCATCCCCATTTCCTGTCCTCAAGATTATTTTGCTTCTCTTTATTCCACGAATCACATCATACAGCGCAGTGTCTATATGCCCAGGGATTCTCTCCACCTATGTTCATTGAGGATCTGCCATGCATGCAGCAAAGCTAACTCTAGGGCATGCAATGAAGAATAAAATACTACATTTTCTCTCTACTCCAGTGGAGGATTTTTACTATGTTTTAAAATAAACTCTTGCCTCAAATCATGTCCTTGTTAGATGAATTAAAAATAGCCACTCACCACATGGGCTTACAGTAGACTGCCTATTATAAGGGAAATCAATTATTTTTACACACAAATTTACATATATATATGTATGAATTTTAATTGAAAATAGACTCATTACTCATACAATACATCCTGATCACAGTTTTGCCTATCTCCATCCCTCCACCTCCCCCCTACCAGAGGTCCACTTCCCCACCATTTCCTCTTCAGAAAAAGAGTACGGATGGCTCCAGTAGATGGCAGCTGAACGGAACAAAGCAGGATACAATAGGACAAGGCAAAAGTCCTCATAGCAAGGCTGGAGAAGGCAACCCAACAGGAAGAAAAGAATCCCAAGAGCAGGCAAAAGAGTTGGAGTCCTACTGTTAGGAGTCCCACTAAAAAATGCCAAGCTAATAGCCATAATATAATACATCAATAAAATTTAATAAGTATCTTAGATAGGCTGTTGACATATAAACGATTGGTTAGCTCAGTGGTTCTAAGCTGTAGCTTGTCTTTTAGGGGAAAATAAAGTTTCCTTAAACATCGAGATGTATTGTTTTCATATTGTTTGAACTTCCAGCAATATCAACAAAAATTTTTTAATAATATTTGGGTATCATTAGTATTGCTATTTACAGTTTAAAATTATTGATTATTTGTTTTGTGGTGCTTAAGTGTATGTGTGGATGTGGGTTTGAGTGTGCACTCCCCACTGGGTGAGTGAGGGCTATATTGTAGAGTGAAGAGTAGTAAATATATGCGATGCTGAGAGCACTTGACTTACTGCAGGAAACTGGATAAACTTTACCAATCAAACATGATGTCAGAAATGATGTTGGCAAAGAGATAATAAAGTATGTGAGACTCAGAGTTCCCCTTGCCCTGGTTGCTTCTACTTACACATTCCCATCCACGATGGCATCCAAACTGAAATGGAAATTACCCTCATTTCCTACATGTACGCAAAACCAGAATTAGTTGGTAAACATTTTACTCCCTTCTCATCACGACCTAGAATTAGAATAGACAAATAGTATATTGTTGTTGCTGTTACGAATTGTAAAAGTGAAACATTCACGAACTGTTTTGTATTCATGAGTATAACTTCTTATTTAGTACTCTTCACTTGTAGATAGAAATCAACCTCTATTTTCCTTTACATTTCAATTCACACTTTTTTTTATTACTACAAATAGAAGGAAAAAGTGCAAAATGGTAATCTTCACATCTGTTTAATTCCTTTGGTTCCTTATGTAAATTTCATTAGCACCAACTACTCTATATGTGGGATTGCTTTGTCACCTAATTAAAAAGTGCAATGTGAATATCTGCCAATAGGCAGCATGGTCAGCAGTTACAAAATATCTCATGGGAAATTGGTTCTCCCAAAGCTGCTTGACACAGATATATATATCCATGCACACATACACACACAAAAATGTAATTCCCAAATTGGCTCCACATCAGCTTTGTCTCTAACTATTTAAGAATTTTAAAATTATACTCATGGGTCCTTTTAAGGGATAAAATAATATCCCTTACTGTTTTGATAGAACAATCACTGAAGAGCATGGAATAATAATTTTCTTCTTAAACAAACATGCACACATACACGTGCACACACACACACACAAAGACACGAACAAACAAACAAAAAAATTTCCTATTATAGGAACTAAAGCCACAAACATGGAGGCAGTGGGAAGGTCAAATTCGCACATGCTCTAATCGATGCTCTTAAGCTCTCAAGCTGTCAGGTTAGCTCAGCCTCAATCTTCCTTCAGCCACTCAGGAGTCTCACTATCAACAAACATCCAAGCATAAAGTGGAGTCTTGCTTGCTGTGTGTCCAGGGAAATGCTAAACAGTTGTCTTCTAGGCCTCTACCAGTGTCTCCAGAGTTAGAGAGAGAGACAGATGTGGGGAAGTAAATCACAGTTTTTAATGGCAGGTGACAAGTTCTTTGGATAATTCTAAAGCAATATCGAAGCATTGGTTTCTAGTTAGAAATGATGAGATTTGAATATCCATCTTATAAACAATTCAGAAAACAGGTAACATCATCACTGTGCCTACTATTAATATTTGTCTGTTGAAGTAACAAATGAATGCTGACATAGAGTTATAGATAGTAAGAACAGAACAAATTAGGGACATTAAACCCAATCTTGGGAACAAAATAAATCCCTTGACTTATTAGAAATGAGCTTCGATGAAATCCAGGCTTTCTTATTCCTTCTCAGATACAGTTTGGTGGTACTACGCTCAGAAAGACAAGTCTCCTTCTATCATGGGCTCTTTCTTTGAAGCTTAGAGGAATCTGGTGATGGGTTCAGTGGGAATTAGCTAAACCTAAACTTCAGAAATAGTAATATAACAAAGGAAAGTTTTACCACCATGAGATTCACAAACTGCAATAGCTTCTTTCTGTGTTATATAAAAAAAAGCTTTGTAAATTTGTTTTCGTATTTTTTACTCTCTTTAACATTTACTAGCTTATTTATAAATCAGTTACAACATTACCACCCATAATTGCAGACATGTGCCCATTTTGTAGTATATAATATATATACATATATATATTACATATACTATATATACTACATATAGTATATATATATATATATAGATATATATATATATATATATATAAG